TAAGCAGAATATGCACAAGTCTCACAAGCAAATTAAGGTGTAACCTGCCTTCCTTCTGTGAGGTGCACTCTGTAATTTTGTATTTCTTAGAACATTTTCATTCTTCAGACTCCTGATAGATTTTTAGGTCTTGATAAGGCAGTGAAGGAACTGAGGAACCACACTTCTGCTTATCCTCCGAAAAGCAGAGAAAAGAATATTCTCTCCGCTCTGCATTCCTAGTTCCACTGTCCAAGCTGTGTCTTCTGACTTTGTGCCATAACGAGTATGTATAATGTTTTGAAGAAATTGGCATGGAGCTGAGTAAATTGTGGTGGTTTTGACTACTGGAATCCTTTGATAAACTGCATCATGTTCAACAGTCCAGCTGTTTTTTCAGTTTCTTTTAATAGACAAATATATCATGCACCTAATGCCTGTGCAGTCATCCACAAATGCACCAGTTTGTGTTTTCTTCAGTCTCTTTTTTTTTTTTGCCTGTAACATGACAAATTTTTTCTATAGTGGTGTTTGGTTTTTTTTTCCATACAGATTATTAATGAGTCATCACTGGCGAGGTAGCCTTTATTTTATAAAAGGAGAAAAGGGGCTTGTGCAGCATGAGCAAAGTTTGGATTTATAAAAATGCCGAAGTACCTATTGCTGGTAGTATTAATTCCAAATTCCATTCATAGAAATCTAGATCATCTAAATGAGAAAGAACAAAGTCAGCATAGGAGGACTCTAAAGATGTTGAAGAACTAGAGAAGAAAGTAGTTCATTGTAGGTCAAGGAAAGTGAGTTATGTTTTTCTGAACATACTGCTTATGCAGTCCCAGCTACAAAATTATCAGGCTTTAGGTACACAAAATTACTACAGCATTGTGGGTATTTAAATCATTATACTTTTGTGGTAAAGAATTTTATATCGTTGGGATTAATATTTTTGGAACTATTATTTTTAAAGTTACTATATTTTGCAATTTCCACTAATTATCAGGCTTGTACTTTCTATGAGGAAACTAACAAATCCTTAAACATAAACAAGAGTATACATTTATTTTTCCCCCCTAGAGTCCTTCTTGCCACACTGAGGATACACAAACCAATAAAAATTATTGATTAGAGTGATCCTAAGTGCAAACCACCAAAATCTTAAGCTTCTGCCTTTTATCATTTTCAGTGAGTTATTTTGCATTCTTCTAGGTTTCTTCTATATTTAGCATCTAAATTAAAAAAAAAAGAATAATTTTTTTTTTGCTAAAATTAAGAATCAATGATTTTAAGCCAGTGTGAAAGTTTCTGTGACTCTAATCTTTTTACAGACTCTATGCATGTCACTGTGGTAGCAACTCTCATTACTGGCATCTGACACTGTTGTTTTTTTTTCCTTTGAGTTATGAAGTAAGGCAAGAGCAGGCATGTGACTTTCCACATTCTAGGTTTTGTAGGACCAGCTTATAAAGACATTAAAAATAGTGCACTGTATTTCAGTACGCAAATATATTTTGCAGAGTGCACAATGACTGTGCTGTGCAAAGATGACATAATGATGTCCTGATATTGATTTGAATGTAATGGGTATCCTAATTGCGCCAATTTCACTTGTTCAGGAAAATAAGTGAAGTATTACATTATTCTTTTTTTCCTTCATTAGTCCAATTTTAATGTTTACTTTCCATACTGAGTGAAATATTATCTGATTATCTGAATGTATATGATAAAAATCTTAAAGGAGCAAAATACCCTTTTTCCTGAATGTGTCTTACCATAGCTAGAAGCTAGTAATTGCTATTAAAGAATGATTCTTTAAGAATAAATGTCAAAATCTATCTCAAGGACTGGAATTCAACTAAGATTTTTAATCCACTTTAATGACTTCTATTTTTTCAAAGATATTTTTAGTAATACAATTTATAATAACATGTCCAAATTCCTAAGAGCTTTTTATCATAGCCTAGTAGTAATGACTGCAGACTGTTCTCTAATAGATCTTGGTTTTTAATGGTTTTGTCATTAAGGATCTCATTGGAATAATTTATCATTAACTTAATTATTTATCATTCTTTTCTAAAAGGAGCTCATGGAACTCTAAAGATTTCAGCATTCTGAAAATTACATCAATCTGTAAAAATCAGAAATAGCACATTTTTAATTCTATGGCTGAGTTAAAAAATATGGCCTCTGTCATTTTATAAACAAAGCACAAATACAAGAGTTTGTTTGGAATGCAAGTTGACGTATTTGCATTTGTTTGGCTGTGGCCTGCATATCGTTACTATCACTTTCTGGTTTCCTGTGGCCAGTGCATTTTTAGAAAGTTTTCAATAGAACAGCAACATTAAAAATAGAACAGAACTTCAAAAAGCTATTAAAATCCTTTTTAGAATTATGACACATACTCCAGTTCTTTCCAAGTGTGCTCTTCACCTTTGGGATCCCGGCTTCAGCCCACTGTGGAGACAGGCTAGAACCTTGCAGTTTATATCTTAACTTCTCTTCAGCCTTATAAAGGGTTTTTAATTGAAATCTCTTTAAGGTTGTCTTTATTATTTTCCTTCCACCTCCGTGTGCAATCAGATATTATCTTCCTCTAAGAGGAAGTAATTATAAACTATACCTGATATAATATGGTGATATATGTAGAGGGCTGTGATTCTGAACACATGAATTTTTTTCTCTCTCTCTCTTTTTTTTTTTTTTTTTTCAATAGCAGAATACACACTTTGGTAAGAAGAGCAATGGAGATTTAAGCGTTATAGTGAACTCTGAGAGGTCAAAAAGCATAGCAAATATAGTGGCACTTAATGCTTGCATGGACTTGTTCAGTTACTGCTCTTGTATTCCTTAAGCTTTTCATTCTCGTGTGTTCCCTTTAAGGCTGCTGCAGTTTGGCCTCGCTAAAGTTGTGTCTGGGGAGAACTGCTCTATGAGCACAGCATTCCAGTGCCTGCTCAGTGCACGGCAGCTTGACACTAGGGCTTAAGACTTGTGGTAGTTACAACACCTGTGACAGTCTTTACTATGGTCATTTATTGCTACTGTAAAAGTCTGCCATGTTTGGAATAGCAAATGGAGGGAAGTGCTTAATACAGGCATTTTCCAAGGTGCTGGTGGCTCAGCTTTTCTATGAAAGAAATTCACTTAAGTAATGTTTTTTAAAAGGGCTCAATATTTAAAAGGGTAAGTGGAGAACGTGTCCTGCACCTATTCGCTTTCTTTGAGTGGCAAATCTAGAAATTGTGTGTGAACAGAAGATGCAAGTAAGTAAGGCTACGAGAATCCTCCAAAGTCTTACCTAGAAGTACTTAGGCCTTGCTGTGTCCCAGAGGTGAATGGAAACCACTGACCTAATTGTCACTTGCGGGTGGTTACTCCCTCAAGTAATTCCTTTCTAGGTAGGCTTGCTCTTGTAATTTGAGTTACTTCAGCAAGATCCTTAGTATACTTCCAAAAAATAACAAGATGAGACTAAATGGAGGCAATAGCTTAGCCCTTGGGAGCCAGTGCTAAGGTTAGGGGTGAGTAGCTGTTGTGGCTTGGGCTGTTAATTTCCCAGAATTAGAAGAGGCTTAACTGAAAAGAAGAAATACTGAAAAGAAAATGGGTTCTGTTTTATCTCAAACCAGGACATTAACTAGGAGTCTGCTTTAGCTGAACCATTGTTCTGACACCAGTGAAAGAGACAAATTTCAAAATTTTGGTGTTAAGTCTAGTTATCTAGATGAGGTCACCAGTATATTGGCAAAAAATACAAGCTTTAGAAGTGAATGTTAGCAAATCCTACAGGCACTGCAATGTATTTCTGTTTCTCAGTACTAATTTGGGCATTACATAGGATAAATTTTTTGAGACCGTAATATTAAAGACACTTCTTCAGTAGTAGTATTACTCGGGAAACAGGGCAAACCAACTTTAATGATAATTCATGGTGAAATGCTAAGTGGTAGGAATTTCTTATTTTATTCATGGTGAACAAGTAATACATCAGCTGCATATAGGAAGGGCAGAAGGATTGCTGAATGGAGCCAAATTGATTCTCTTATTCAAACTAGTACAATTCCACTGATTTCAGTGGTGTAACTTGAAAGAAGATCGGTTGAGGTTCAGAAAAAATTTGAATTTTTATCAATTTCCCTTTCAGTTGTGAATTTACATATCTTACTGTTTTGATACCCTTTTTTGTTGGTTTTTTTCTTATGTGTCTGTGGAAATACAGATAGAAATTCAGCAGCACTTAAATGTTTACTAAATGTAAGAAACTACTTTATCATAAACATCTTTATATGCTGTCATTTATATTATTATTCAATTTTAAAACTTCTTCAACCATTCAGTATAATAGGGTAGTGTAAACATTCATTTAAAAAAAAAATCCCATAAAAATATTTTTTCTGTTTTAAAGTATAAATGGTTCATGGTAAATTCATACTTAAATAATCAAGAAGATTAAGAAATGTCTCTAAGTAGCTTTTTGTGAGCGGCACATATAAAATTCTTTCAGTACTCATGTTATTCTTTTTATGGTTATGTTTACAGTTTATAGTAACTTGAATTACTCAGCTCTATCCAGGGACTGTACAGCTAAATCAAATAAATGATCATTTATCTTCAGTTAGGCTCCTCAAGCTGTTACATATATGTTTCATCTGTTGCTATAGCATAGTCTGTCTTCCTCTTCAGCAGTGAATGTTTCAACTAAGGATTCAGATGGAAATTATTTCATGATTTCTAGTCCTTATCACTTCATTCAAAATGTACAGTGATCTCACAAATTGCTAAAAGGGAGATTGTTCACTTTTGCTTTATTTTGTTGAGAAATGTAGCAAAAGAAAAAAATAACAATCCAGCTTCAGCAGCATCGTTTCAGTCCAACAGAAGTAATCAAGCACAGTTTGTAAAAACTGCTTATGTTTGCAAAGAGTAGGCTGTAATAGACCTTTTCAGTTAATAGAAGACTTCCTTCACATTTGAAGTTAAACGGAAAGCTTTCAAAATTCAATTATGGAATTTTTCCTTAGGTTGGCTGGCAGTTAAAGAACCTAGTAAATGCATTGCGGGAAGACCCAAATGGAGTGATTTTAACCTTGAAAAAACGTCCTCAGAATACCCTGGTTTCTGCTCCTGCTCTTCTGAAGAATGTGAGGTGGAAGCCTCTTGCGCTTCAGGTAAGAAGGCTGCTGCAGTGCTGCAGGTGGTAAATCCTTTATTCAATGGAAAACATTAGAATCTTTACTTCCAGTGAAAGCAACAGGAGCCTCTAAAAAGTCCCAGATTCCTCTGAAATAGTGTGCTAAGTTGCTAAATTTGTGTGGCAATACTGTAAGTGTCAGTAAGATTGTTTTCCTCTTTTTTTTTTCTTTCTTTTTTTTTTTTTTTTTTTTTATTTTGTGAAGTTGGGAGCCACAGGAATTCATGGAAGGGAGGAATATCTACAGATAGTATTACTGAAGATCAAGGCAGCCTAAGGTTCAGTAGCTTTCTTTGACCGGCAAAGGCAACATTGCCCCCATTTCCATTATTTCACAGCCTGTCAAAACTACTTGTTTGGAATCGAGTGTGTCAGACCATTTAAATTTCAGGAAAAGTCTTCTGTTCTACATCTCATCAAGTTTGAGTTTTTTGGTAGCAATGCTAATTTAACCATTGATATTTTCTGCATACTTATTCCTTGAAAACCTGTTGACATGAAAAAAATTGATTGTGAACATCACAGTTGGTTCTTCCTACAGCATCAATGTACATAGTAGAAACTGACTCAAGGTAGAAAGGCTGAACTCAAAATTTCATTATTAAAGGAATGTTTTTTGAGTAAGTTAGTAACTGTTAATGTTTATCTTTGATACTGTGTAATGTTCTGTAATAAGCTTATGTACTTTCATGATGTGGAAGCTTCACAGAGTTGTTTTGTTTGGATCATGTGATACATTAATGTGTTTCTGAATAATTTTTAAATTAACAAAACAAAGCAAACCCTTCAAGCCTATGCAGCCAAATTTCCTTCCTGCCTGGCACTTGCTGAATCTTTCATTCCTCAGAGTGCCTAAATCCTATGCAGCTGCTTCACTTCAGGAGTTTGTGTAATTCTTGCAGCTCAGGAGTGCTGATGGGTTTAGTTCCATCTTTCCTTTCTCTGTGACTACCTTGGGGGGAGATGGAAGGGGTGTTGTGACACCCAGAGGAGATTCTGAACTCTTCACATTTTTCTGTTGTAAGGATGCAGGAATAATACTCTTTGCTCTAGTAAGATGATTGTGTATCTACTTGTGAACTTCATATGAAGCCTCCAGGGGCAGCAAAATGGAAAAGGCATTTGCAACAGGTCTTTAGAGATCCTCTCTTTATATTGGTGTATTAAAGAATCATCATTCACAAGCAGCGCTAGTTCTGGAAGTTTTCTCATTGTGAAAACAATATGTACTGTATACATGGCACTTTATTTTCCACAAAACATGCCATCCTTTGTCTTGGTAGCCAAATAAGTGAAAATGCACCAAGCTATTTTTGTGGAATTATCAACAGTTTCTATTTCTGTGATGTGTTCTCTCCTGAAGACCCAGAACACAAGAGGCCCAGAGGATCAAAGGGTGCTTTAAGCGTCATCCTCACTAAGATGTATTTCTTCTATATTACTGAGTAGTGCGGTGAGGGATTTAAGAACAAATATAAATCACTTCGGGAAATAAAAAGAGCGTTGCCAATGTTACTTCTTAACAGTATATTCTGATACAAGATGTTGAAAACCCTCTTTAGGTCGTCTTAGCATCTTCAGGTCTTCTTTATTCTTCACGCCACGGAGGCAAGCTCCGGTATTAGGACCTGGATACATTTCAGGATGCAGTTTTGGGGTTTGTCTGTTTCCTACAGTTCTCACCTGGATCTAGTATTATTTATTGTTGTCATTAATGACTTGGAACAAGCATGATTAAATTTCAATATGTTACTAAACCTTGTGTTTCCTGGGCAGCTGACATAACAGCTTGATGCTGCTGGAAAGCAGTGATCTCACTTCCCTCTCCCTGCTCTTGGCTGCAGAATGTCCTCGCCTTTGTTTGACTTTGGCATTTTTCAGACTCTCTAGATCCATTTAATTAGTTGAATTGGTAGGAAGGCTTCTGGTTTTGTGTATTTGTTTTTCTGGAGTTTTATAGCACTAATGGATTAAATTGGCTCCCATAGAACAGAGGCTATTGACAGACTTTCAAAAATAAGCACAATATATTCAATATAAACGGAAGGTTTTCTACTTAGACAAAAGTAACCAGCTGCATGAATGTAGGATATGGAATGACCACTTAAGCAACAATCTGTAGAAAAAGATCTTAGTTGAAATAGATCAAAACTGAAAAAAATCCTCAGCAGGTGTTTGACTGTCACAAAAAAAGGGTACTGTATACGGAAGTGTTATATTTTATGGTGTTGCATATATGGATCCACATATATTGCTCTGCATGGATACATATAAGTAACACACCATGAAAATAACACATGCAGAGTAATTCTTCCATCCTGACTTAGTGTTGGTAAAAAGCAAAACAAAAGCAGTACATAATTGGGGAAGGAACAAAGGAAGTACGATTTAAGAACTTGAAATTCAGAGGCCAGCAATAACATTTGTGAACTCAGGCTGGTGTGCAGCAGTAATTTTTAAAATAAATTTTTTCATGTTGTCTAATATTGCGTAAGACACTTATAGGTGTTATTAATAATATTTTCATAATAATTATGTTTAAAATTTTACTGCATGATTTATGAATTATTAATGATACAGAATTTGTGAATCCTTATAATATTTATTTCTTCGTTTTGTAGTATTCCTTCACTTTATATAGTTTCCCTTGATGCTTAATTAAAAAAAGCAGAATGTTAACCTGTGCCAAGGTTCTATGCTACAGTTACCTTTGTGAGACAACGTATCAGTCATACCATTTTCTTATTTTGTCTCTAGTTGGCATTAAATGATATTAGAAGACTATTTTTTTTAAAAAAAAATTGTCCCACTCAAAATAAAATGGTTCTTTCATCTGCAACGGCAAATAATGCTCTGTTTTATATAAAAATGAGCACACTGGCAAGTGCATTGAAATAAATTCAAACATTTATTGTATTTTTTTTCTTTTTATTTGCAGAAATTTTCTAATTGGAATAATCCTTCCTGTAACAACTGCTTGATTCAGAACATTAAACTTTTTATTATTTAGCTTGAGATATAGAATCTGTCAGCTGGTGATAGCTGGAGTGGAGTAAAGCTTACATCAACAGGGACAATTTTGTAATAATTTTTACCTATTAGAAAATAGATGTTATGCTGAGAATAATTCTGGTGAAGTAGCTCATTTCAGATTTTAAAAAAGATTAATTTGGAGAGATGTTGTTTTATATGAAACAGATGCTTGTAGGAGGAAAATAGGAAAATAGCAAGTTGATGTGTACCACTTCTCATTCACCACTTGAGTTAGGTTGGAGTTCATGGTTTGGTTACTGTACCCTGACAGAATTCTCAGATGAACTCTGAAATTATTTCCTGCGCATTTGCTTTACTGTCTTAGTGAGAAACATCTTGGGCAAGGGAAGACTTGTAACAAGCAGCAAATAAAAAAGTTGTGTTCTGTTCTCTAAAGTGTCTTGTATCAGAGGACATGATGAATTTTCTTTTCATCTTAATGCCGCTCATGCTTTTATTGACTTCTGTCTTACTTATATGTATTTCATTGTATTCTTTTGCTCTGAGGGCAAATATTACTATTTACACATTAAAAAAGGTTTATATATCAAGTTTCAAAAGAGTAGAAATCCATGAGACTTGAAAACACATCACCAGTATGCGAGAAATCCTCAGCCGTATTGAGAGTTCTGTTTTTTACTGTGAGTAGTGCTTGTGTTGTTGAACACTTCATTTTTCTGAATAGCAGCTTGTCTAGTAAGCAATTGGTCATCTATATCACCGGCATGAATGAACTTGTTCTGACAAAAAATACACACTGTAGGAATTTATAGGGTGATACGCAGTTACAAAGCCCCATTTTCCCTTACCACAGGCAATCCATGTAGAAGAGTGACGCCTGTGTGTTTTCTGTGAATTCACCCATCAGGGGAATTCTGGGGATTGAGTTTATTCCTTCAAGGCAGAAAGCAGAGACTCAGTACCCCATCCTTAATCTTCATACCCCCTCAAAAGGTAAGGGATGTCCATGTTCAAGCCTCTTGTTGCTGCACCACTGGGCTTTACCAGCTTCCTGCATCCTGTCCTGCTGTTTTTTGCAGGATGCACTGGCGTCATTTGTTTGTTGTTTTTGAACAGCACTTTTTAAATAGATGCAGTAGTTAATTATCCCCAATATTTGCAAAACACACACAGAATCACAACAGTTTATTTTCTTTCTGAAACAGTTTGAATTTTTCTCTTTAGCAAACAATTGTTTATTTCTGATGGGTGTTGAATTTACCATTTGTTTTTCTTTTTTATTCTGGTATTTCAGCATTGCTTAATCATTTTACTGATAATTAGCTAGTCTCATTCAAAACTTTGAATAATATACAGCAGATACCTGAAGTGTCACCTTTCAGAAGTCCTCTATAAACAAACGTGTTTTCTTTGGGATTTTTTTCACCTGTACATGTATTCACACACACTTTGGCAAACATTCATTTGTATACAGACGTGGTTAGTATAATCATTTTAAGAAATTGTATTGGAATTGAACTATAATACTTAAATAATTGACTCTGTTTAATTGATAGACCTGGTTAGTATGATATTTACTGTTGATTAAAATTACCTTTTTGCATTTGACATAATACTAAAATATTACATTAAATACTCTTATTAAACGAACGTTTTAGTAATATTAAAAGACCCCTGTGCTATTTTCCAGATACCTAAAACCATTGAAATTCCGTGTCTGATATCACAGACATATCTGGAGCTCAGAGGGAAGGTATACATTTTTGCAAACTTCACTCTGAGCTTCAGGTCATAGAAGAATTACATTTGCTGGAATTATCTGAGTGATGATAGAGGAGAAGAAAGCAAGGGCTCTCTTCACTTCATTAAAGAATTCCAGGCCAGATGATTGAAGAAGGTTTCTTGTGAGCAGTTAGTGGAATCGCCCAATACAGTTTATTTGGACCAGGTGCATCCTTTGAGAAGGGGTAGAAACAGGCCTTACAAAGACGTAATGGCCAGCAAATTCTTGGAAAGCACTGAAGATAGGTATTTTTCATAGAGAAGGTAGAGAACATAAGTAAAGCTGAGAAGGGGAAAGCAAGAGACAGCTTGAGAGCAATCATGACACAGTACATTTAAATAAAAGCTTACAACCCTTATATAGGGAAAGTGAACTTCGAGAGCACGCTTTTTTGTAAACTCAGTGTATGAGCTCCTATAGTATGCCAGTTGACAAGACATGAAGAGCTGGTATTTAGGGGGGAGCACTCTTTGACTATTATTTTTCAAATGTATTTATTGTGAAATTGTGAGAGATGGATTAATTACAGTAAGGTTAGAAAACCAAGAAGTATGATGTTTGTCTTCAGAAAGGAGAAATACAATAGCTAAGGAATTATAAATGTCAGTCAATATGCACAAATGGTTTCTGAGCACTTAGAAGATAACAGATGAGTAAAAATAACATGAATTTATTATGAAGAAATCATTAAACAGGTTTACTGCTCTTAGGTGAGCAGTTAACCGACCTGGTAGATAGGAGAGAAGCTGTATATCTTACTCTGATATTAATAGCTTTTCTCATGACATTCTCTTAAGTATGGCACAGAGAATTAAGGGCTTGGTGAAAATTGAGATTGAATGGGTAGAAAATTACTGGATAACCTCGCCTAACAAATAGCTGTTAATGGTTCACTATCAAACAAAGGACGTATAATTTAGTATTCAACAGAGGTGATACATGTGTTTTCCTTCCATGTTTTCCTGATAAGCTGAAGGATCTGCTTTCTAAATTTGCATATGGTGCTAAACCAGGAGGGCCTGTAAATGCAGTGGAATTTTGGCTGCTAATGAAAAAACCTAGCTTAGAAAACTAGAAAAAAGCTCTAAAAATGTAATTAAATTAAAGGGGACAAAGTACAAAGTATTCTACTTTGAAATAATCAGATGACATTTTAAAGAATGTTTTAGTTGAATACTATGGCAATAATTCCAAATCATGTGGAAATTACAGTAAACAAACAGCTGAATGTCATGTTGGAAGGAAGTCAGAGACTTGACTGAGAGACATAAATGAGAATATAAAACACAAGATAAGTGAAATAATTATTCACCAGGTAAGTGAAATAATGATTGTGCTTTATTCAGCATTAGTACAATCTCAGCTGGGTGCTGAGTACGCCTTGTATAAGCTGGGTACACCTAGTCTAATCAGTTGGAGAAAGTACAGAGCACACTACAGTTTATTAGTGTTTTAGGAAACAAGACCTACAAGGGAAGAAGTAGGTTTTATTCTTGTTTTCTAGCCAAAATAAGAGGAAACAGATAGTATACAGAATGTAAAAATAAATGAAAAGTTAAAGAATGAAAAGGAAGGTTCTCGCTTTCAGTGATGGGTAGGAAAAGGATTGAATTAAAATGAAGCAAAAAAGATTACATTGCTGTGAGGTAGATTTTTAATAATCTATCAGGAATAACTTAGCTATCACCCTATTTGGGAACATATTTAGGAACAGTCATATTAACTCTCCACATCTTTTTTTTTTCTATTGTTTACTTCCTTAACTAACCTGTAACCTTACCAACTGCTGAGTATAAGCCCATTGAAAAGAAATTTTTCACAAGAGACTTGGTAAAGGTAATTTCCTTTCTGATTCCGAAGTGGAGTTTCTGCTTGTCTTTCTGTGATGGTGATAATTTATGATTTCATCCATGGGAAACTATGTCCAGCTGCAGGTAAATTGGGAGATTATTAGAGTATCTTATATTTGGTCTCTTTACTAACACTGCCACGTCAAAAGTGTGGAAATAATGGAAGTATTCTAAATGTAGTGGTTGATACTGTGTATAAGATGGAAGGTTCTAATTTCCAACAATATGAGAAAGTAAGTAGTGAATGATTCTTGTCTCTGGCAATTACTTCTTGCCTATTTATATTGATAATATGAAAAACCTGAAAACATGTGATCAAAATGTAAGAAGCTTAACAATAAGCATGGAAGAGTAGGATAATTTGGACCCCTACACAGACTGATATTCTCCTGAAAAAAACATCCTTTTCTGGTATTTAGGATTGCTTTTACTTATTGAATCACATAAAAATAATTTCAGTGTTTATCTCTAGAAGATAGAAAGCACTGTATTTAGAAAAATATTATAAAATTGTCTTCATAGTTTTCATCCAGTTTCTAGGTCACTGTGTTTTCCTTCCACCTGTAGTGAACTAGTTGTATCTATTAAAGCACAATTTTGTATATTGAATGGGAATTTTTCATGTAAATAATCTAAACAATAACACTAAATAATTTTTTATTATTATTTCTTGAATATAAACACAGACTGTACCTTGGTTGATAAAATATTCTTTGTGTATATATCTTTGTATCCTGCACAGAATATTTGGTTGTAGTCATTATAGCCATTGACTTGAGCTTCTCTGTGGATTTTGAGTTTAAAAAGTGTTTTAACTTTGTTTAAAAATTAAAAACAAAACCAAAAAGACCACCAGACTTTATTCTTTTAATATTTATGATGCTCTTATTTATTGCTTAGGTTAATTTATATTTCATCGCTAGTCACCAAGGAACCTATATTTGTATCATCATGGCTATGGTTTCAGGAAAAAAATAAGAAACAATAGATGTTTTCTTAAAAGATCTAGATATTCCGTCCTTGTTAATAATAAATCTTCTGCTGAAACCAACATTATGGTCATGAACACTTTCATTCCAAGCGAGTATTCCAGAGTTCTGTGATTAAGTTTGTATTTATGGCATTTAATAGTGTGTGTCCTTCCTCCCCATATACTTGATTTTCTACATTGGTTAAAAATCATATTTTGATTCTGAATTTCAGATTTTTCCATGAGATGGCTTTTAGATTAATTTCACTACTGGTCTTTTATCAATTTATTTCCTAACTAGTCTTGAATTCCAGAAAACATTAACTTATTCATGTATTTGTTTTTTTCCAGCCTGTAATTCCAACCAGTCCAACAAGCAGCTCTACAACACCAACAAGTACAATGGGCATATCCTCAAAAATGGAGAACTCTGCACTCCAAGACGTTTTCATTCTGTCTCCTATGTCAGGACTCTATGGCCCTAGGTATTTATGTCGTAATGAATTTGAGGTTTTGAAAAATAAAATTTTACACTTTGATTTCACTAGATTAATAAAACCAACCAAACAAAAAGCCTTACAATCAAACTAAATATTTAGTACAATTAAGAGCAACATATCGTTATTTTGAGACACTTAACTTTTAGTTAGCTAGATACCAGTTGAGCAAAACCTGGGATTACTCCTAAACCAAGAAAGTCTTTAAAGAAGTCTTTAATCATTCAGTTTTTTTTCCTTTAATGTGACTGCTTGTATCTTACTCTAAAGCAGGCATTTCTGCAATGGAAACCCTTGCCTTCTCATGTTATACCGATTCCTTATGCTCCCTTTCAAATACTAGAAAACTCCCAAATGGCTGTATTTGTCTTACAGTTAAAATGGAACCTAACGATGATTTCATTAAGTTACATTTCTTGAATTGAATCGCTTTTATGAAAGTTTACACGTACAGCTTTTCAACTACAGGACTTTTCATTTGTAGTGTTTGGGAGAGACAGTTGTATGCTTTATCATAAAATGGTTAATTTCTCCATAATCTCGGTTCTTTCTAGGGATGAAATTGGAATAATGTCTTGTGATGACATCAGCAAATTTGGAAAACCTGGAATGAAAGGCTCTGAGTCTCCAAGCTATTTCTTGGAGCATGAAAGTGGGAAATACTACACCTTAATTGAAGGTGAAGGCCACCCTGTGAGCTCTGAGTATGAGAGAAGCAGAGCTGCAGGAGTGCGGAGAAGAGAAAAAACACCCACTCACGGTAGGCTTGATTTCTTTAATATTTCTGAATTGACTGGATTTACAAATTGTGTTATTAACACTGCAACACCCCCAAATCTGTCAATCTTTCTTACATCGTGACCTGTTGGCTGTGAATAGTAGGCAAAGGAATAATGAGCACAATTACAAGCTAACGTTCAGGATCAGGACTAAGTTATTTATTCTGCAGTGCACCCTTAAAATTTTGCATGAGCCTTAAGTTCATGTTATTTGGATAGTTAGCATCTGGATTTTGCTCAATTTCAGTCGTAAGCTCTTGGAGGTTATTTTAGTTGTGGTATTCTGGATGGTTAAACTTCAATGGAGGGCCTGAAAAGGCTTACTTATGATGTAAAACTATCTATAAGATATAAGGCCCTCCAAAATTCAGTGCTGTATTAAATGGATATAATTACGTGAGTACTATCCTGCAAGGCATTGTTAATACAATAAATATATTTCAAAATCTTAGAATGGAGACTAATTAACTATATAAGATGCTATTAAGAGATAATAAACTCTGGGTTTAGATAGAAATTTCATGTGAATGTAAATCCATATGGGTGTACAGGCACACAAACATATAGTGCTTGTATATGAGTTTATGTATCTTTATAAAAGGTATTGCTGAAAATTAATTGATTAATCTTTTATTGCTTATCTGTTAAAACTGATTTGTTTGGTGTTTGTTGAATTTTAGAGGAATGCTTATGAAATACAGCAGTGTATCTTCATATATTTGCAGTGGTTTTATTTTCAAGGCAGTAAGTTATTTTTGTAGTTGACAGACTTAAAATAAAATATTTCTTTTAAAAACTGAAAATGACATCATTTCTGAGGCTCAGAGAAAGCAATGACTCCTCCTTCTGATCATTACATTCTGTATGGGTAGATTCTACCTTTTTATGTTTCTATACATGCCATACCATCAATCAGTACTTCATTCACCTCCTCTGAGACGAAGGGTTTTTTTACTTTCTCTCATTTTGTTAAAAAGTTTCCTAAATTTTTTTGTCCTTGATATCTAGGAAAGGGAAAACCTCTCACAAGCTCACAGTAGTAAATAAAAATGTGTCTGTGAAGAACAGAGGTAATAAAAACATGCTGCAGTTCAATGGAGATAATATCAAAGGCAGTTATAGTAGAAGGTCCAATAACAGCTGAAATGGAACACAGTTGGGGGAAAAAAAAGAAAAATCTTTAAGCACCACAGGCACTGATTGTGCTGGTCTGCCATAGAACTGGCTACTGTGGTGCATAATTTGATACCATGACTGTTATTAAATGTAGTTTCCTATGCTTCTTTCAGTTGCTAGTATTTAGAACCAATGCTGCTTTCTCTTCCCTCTTCTCGGGCTGAGGTCTTCTTGCTGCCATAAATGTTAGAAGAAAGGGCAACTGACAGCCCCAGATGCCAAAACAGATTTTGATAGTTAAGATGTGAAAACATTTTCTTCCGTAAATTTTTGCTGAGATTTTCTTATTATATATGAGATATCTATCTCTGTAACTTACCTGGGTTAAGGTTTCAACTGTGTTACCTTTTGCCTAAGAACAGCTAATGAGTGACAGTTAAGTGATTTCACCTGCTGTTTCAAGAGCTGAGAGGGTAGAACTGAAGTCTGAAAATAGGACACCTGCAAGAATACTTCAAATTCTGTCCAGCTGCAGTGATAGTTCACTACAGCTGGAGACTGATAATTCGCTGTAGCTAGACTTTCCCAACAAAGAACATCCAACTTTCCAAGTGCTGTTCTGTTTTTGTCATTCTAATAGTATGAAAGAAATCTTAGCTTATGTTTATCAAGTAAACAGAACTTTTGTCCTGTTTTTGCATTTTGGTAAACATAGCTGGATTTATGGTAAAAAATGGCAAAATACCAATTGTAAAATGGACAGGATTGTGTGTATCTATAAATACACAACCTTTTCAGAATAGGGAAATTTTAGTAGGTCTTTATTATATGTAGGGTATTTTTAGTAACTTGTACAACCATTTAGTTGATGCTTGGAAGAGCTGTAACACCGAAGAGTAGGATTCCATTGTAAGACTAGTAATACTCAGTCTTTATCTCCCTGGTAGGTGACATCATTTAATAATAAAATTAGAATGAAAGATAGATCTTCACTGTGATTAAAATTGGAGGCAGATGGATGTATTTGGCATGCTTTCATAAATTCATGCTGCATGATGACTTAAAATGTTGGGCTCTGTGCCTGATTCCAGTAATACTCAAAATTTTTCTTGTGTTTATGTTGGCCAGTCCTGATTTTCTGTAACTTTGAATATCTAGAAGGAATTTGACTTAAAAGTCTCAGGAATATGCCTTTGTTTCAAAAAGAGTTGTTAAGCCAGAATTTTTTAAACTACAGATTATATGAATCTGTCAATTAACAACTTCCAAATCAAAATTTTGTTCTACTGTAGTAGAATAGTTTGTACTTTTTGACTTAAAGATACACATTTGAACCATTAAAGTAACACTGTGTCTTTTGTTGGAAAGACAGGATTTATGGTAGATCCAATAAATGTGTCTGATGCTGGAACCAGAGAGCCCTGGGCAGAGTAAGGAATATAAAACTTCTGAAGTCTTTCATGGTTGAGCAGATGCTTCCATTATTGTTACTACTCACACAAACCATGGTTCAGAAATTCCTGCTATGGAGTTAACCAGAATTAAAGTGATTATTAGAAACCAGTCTCTGTTGCAGCTGGTAGATGGAAGGATACTCAGGCAGATGAGACCCTCAGTATTGATAATATGTGCAAAATCCAAGGAGGCAAATAAGAAATCTGTTTTCTCAAACATTTGTGAAAATTAAGCTTGTATCTATCATTACTGTGCACTGCGTTGCTTTTTTTTTTCTTTTTTTAAACCAAGAGCTATACTCTAATATTAGCCTGACTCTAACATGCTATGGTATTTAGAGTTCTTGTGGCAATGCTTCTCAGAAAAAATCCAACTCCCAAAGTTAAAACAGTTCATAGGTTACATTTTTTTGGGAAGAACTTGGAAGTACAAAATTCCTTTGTTTGGCTTGTGTATTTCCTGCCCTAAATTTCTAGTTTTGATGTCAATCATGCTGTGGCATCTGGCATTTGTGTTACAAATCTCTTCAGAACTTCAGACCTTTCTTCTCTTTACAGAAATACAGCTAAGTTTTATTATGTTGATCTTCATTTGTTTTGTGCATTCTTAAGTTTTTTTATATTTATAATCTTCACTTGTTTCTCTTTCTTTTCCCATATTACTGATTCTTCCTTTTGTTTGATTTATATTTTTTTTCTTAATTAATGTTATTCTTTTAAGGCCAAATTTGAGATTAAGAGATCAAGAATACGTTTTTAGTTAGAGGTAGTTTCAACTGTTAGGCAGGCAGGGAATCAACATATATTTTCCATACAATTAGTTATACACTAAATTCTGTGGTGTACAAGTATAATATGGAAAAATCTCAGTACTCTAGGTATATGTTTCCAGCAAATCACGTTACCCAGAAGCACTTTTGTCATACACCTGTTTGTTCTTAAATCCTCCTAACATTTTAGTAGCCAAAAAAGACGTATTTTGGAAGAATGGTGGATCTCAGCATACAAATAATCCACAGAAAATACTTTGTCACTCTAATCAACCTGGGGAGATGGATAATGAAACAGAAAAGCTTGTTCACATTTAAATTCTGTAACTGTCCCAGAAACAGAACAGTAGCAAACTGCTTTAAAAGAAAGTTTACTTGAGTGCTAAAGAAACGCACTAAGTTTAGTCAGCTGGCGTACAGAAAAAGGAATCTTTGCCTTACGGGTCAGATAGAACTTAACCAATAATCTAGAGGGTGTGTTTCTGTATTTTGTGATGATAATAAACACTGACAAGGCCAAAGTGCTAATGCTTTATAGCATAGTTTTGTAGTATTCCTCGTTTCATGGTCTGCTATTGATGTTTTACTGATACCATAGTAGGGAATAACTAATGCACATTGATATCTTACAGTCTTAGTGCCATAAAAGTCTATTAATTAAAAGCCTAATGTCTGAATCTTATACTTTGTTGTTGTTGTTGTTATAAAACTGCACCCCATGTTTTCTTTCTAAGGCGTTTGAAATTAACTGTAATCTGCTTTACATTTACAAGTAATTTCAATGAAGTGGTACTTTCCTTCAGATCAGTATAATGAAGAGGAGAACCCATCATATATAATGGTTAATTGATCCTGAATGCTGCAGCTTTAATAATGTATAGGTGCTGATCAAAAGGATTGCTCTGAAGGATCGTGTCATGCTTGTAATTTATAGGCAGTACTTAGACAACAGCCTTTTATTTTTAGTCTTCAAAAATTATATTGGTTTATCTTGAATTGTTTCCAGGAGATTTAAGGCCTGTTTCTATGCCTACCGAGTACAGTTGGATAGGGGAGTCCAAAGAACAAAGCGTGTACAAGAGGGGAAGCAGAGGTGAGTATTTTTTTTTTTCTCTGCTGTTCTCCAAGATTTTTTTTTCTTTGTTATTTAAGAAGCATGAACTTATCATCACAGGAGCTAAATCTATTTTCTCGAGTGCCACGAAGAATGTGAAAGAGCCTGTTTAGTGTCTTGAGTTTTTGTGTTTCTGTTTCTGAAAATTAAAAAGTTTGTATTAGTAGGATGGATTTACCCTATTTAATTCTATTATAAAGATAGATAAACATCAAGGGAAAAAAACCTTGTAAGATTCAGATATATGTTAATAACAATCAGATCTTAATCTGCACAGTTCTAGAAAACTGTAAGTGGTGTTACAGAGGGAGTCATGTCCTTTGAGACACATTTTGATTAGTATGAATGAATATTTGAAACCAGAATCAGCTGATCTGCCAATGTTCAGACCAGCGCTAATCATATAGCTTTATTGATTCCAGTGGGAATTATGAGCTATGGAAGAAGCATGGTGGTAGCACAGTTCTTTTTTTTTTTCTGTTTTTTCCTCTGTTAGAAAGCAATTATATAATTCAAAAGAGTATTCTTCAAATATTCAAGCATGTTGGTTGTTATGTCAATTGCTAAAGATCCTTAAATGAATACCATTTTTATCAGAGTCTTTTAGACAAAATGCGGGCAGCTGAGAGGAGTGCAGCTTGGCCACTTGTGACAAAATTGAATGATACCCTTGAAAATTAATACAGGATTTTAAACTATTTTTTTCAGTAATCTTCCATTCCAAGAGAAAACAAATTTCATTTAAGGCACAAGCCTTTTCTGATTTATTCCAAATCTGTTGATTAATGTTTTGTTTCTATTTCACTGTTACAGACAGATTCCTTTCCTCAGACTTGTTGCCAGGCCAGTTCCCAATTTGAAATTGTGCCCACGAATACTGCACATCTGTTTAAGACCATTATTCCAATTTGTCAGGCTCCTTGAAATTACAGTCCTTGTCTCTGGAATGGTCGCAGAGATGTCCCTTTATTGATACAAGTTACAAATATTTTATGTGTATGCTCACTTTCACCTCAAATGGCAGGGGTTGTTAGTCAATGTGGTACTGAGGCCAGTGCAAGTCCCCACGATTCACTTGACGTTCACATGACTCTTTCCAGTTTAATAGTACCAAGTGGTGATCTAAAACCTTTTGGCTTTATTTATATTTTCTGTTGTTACACAAGCCATATCCTGTGGACTAGCTTCATACTATCTGTCATGCCAGGACCTGGGTATGTGCCACCATCTTTTCCGTGCCTAGGTTTTGTGCCAACTTACTTAGTTTGCTCTTGATCGGAACCTTGGTATAAATAAGTTTGTTTGCAGAAGAGCCTTAGATGAAGTGGGGAATGAACGAAGCTGACAATGCAGATGCAGCCAAAATGGTTCTCTGCTTGTTTCCTCTCACTAATATTTCTTTTCTTTCTTTTTTTTCCCCTCCAACAACTGACTCTGAGAATTCACTCCTGCGGTATCTGAGTGATGACAAGATACTGGTTATCCAAGAAGAGCCTTTGACACAAAAAGACAACAAAAGGGACACAGGTCGTAGGTCAAGAAAAAAGGGCAAAACCACAAGCAGTCCAAACTACCCTATTAGTCCACCTGTGCTGACATCTACTATTAATGTCAGGCTTGAACCCGGACAGCAAGATGTCTTGAATTTCTCACTAGCAGAAAACAATACAGTTCCACTTTATCATGTAAGTACATAACAAAAAACCTTATTACACAAAGTTCATGGAAAAACACTGAAATATTTTTCTTTTAGGATTAATACAGGTATAGAGGTATAATCTTCTACTTTATATTTTAGTATTATATTTTATAGTCCAAGGAAGTTGCTTAATGTCAGAGCTTTCACATGAGAACAGTCTAGACAGAATGGAAAAATGCAAGGCATGCTTTAAGATGCTTTAAGTAAAATAGTGCTCTTTATTACTTATTGAGACTGAGAAATTGTTTAATTTAACCTTTTTTCAAAGGTTGGTAAGGATCCCATACTCAGCCTCCAGTAACAATCACTTAAAAGTTATTTTGTATCCTTTTGTATTTCCCCTTCAATCACTATGTCTTGTCACCAGCTTAATGGGGTTACTGTTTATGTAAATTGCAGTACCATGGCCACAGTCTAGTAATGTGAATTTATTCATAGTGATAATACAGGAAATATTTTGGACTAAAAACTGTGTGGGCTATATAATTCATTGGAGAAATGACGATCCATGAAAAAGCACTGGGTTCTCATGACTATTGGCTAGTGCAGAATTTCGCTGTACTGATTTGGATGTCCTGAAATAATCAGTAGCCTTTCAGAGATCAGTCCTCACTGTTTGTGCTTTGTATGTGTATATTGCCTTTTACAGAGGCATTCTTAAATTTTACTCATGGCCCTACCACTTGGGAGCGGGCTGCTTCGTTCTCATGGCACAGAGTAGTAGCTTCGAAGTATTTTGTGCACAATCCTTAATTCTTCAGGGCAGTTTTTTACTGAACCCTTCACATTGGTATGGAAGCTTGTCGAGATGTATTTACTGTCTAATTATGGTGAATGTCCTCCTAGAAAGACATAAGTGAAAAAGCAGGACTTGTAGCAAGTTTCTTTGGAGTTTTTTGCATTTGGACCTTCTACTTGGTGTTTCTCTCTCTGAGAAAAATCTTGGGAGATGACTGTATTTGTGTCAAGTCTGAGACCTAAAGAAGGTTCACCCAAGGGGATACATTTGAAATACAGCTAGCAATTCATCTCTCGTGCGGCAAGCTGTCAGCGTTTGATAGTCAAAGGATCAGATAATTTTTCTTCTGTTTTCAGGAAATTTACATTTCCTTTTCCTATGCTGCTGGAAGTTAGTATTTTTGGGGAAGGTGGAAGGTCTTTTCCCCAACTTCAGAGAAAGTCAAGTAGTTTATAAATCAAGTCATGTGGTTTTTTACTGGGAGATACTTATTCTGTCCATAAACTCGTAATAGATTATTAGGATCACAAAGAAAAGGATTTCAAATCCTGGGATGAATGAGAAAATTATTTTGCAAGTCTGCAAAAATACAACATTTCATAACTTGGTAGATGAATCAACTGGTTTTATTTAATTTTTGGATGATTGTTTGATTTTTTTGATGTTTGTCTGTTGAATCATCTGACTTCTGAAGAAAGGGAAATGGGTCATACGGAGTGAGATGCTAGTTGGACCCTTTAAATAATGGTAGTTGTTGGTTAAGTTCCCAGAGTCAACCCTGTTGTCACAGGATTTATTTTTCACTGTCAGCACAACCT